TGCATTCCCTGACGTAATGCTGGACGGGTTGGCCGACCCGTACGTACGGCGAGTGCGGATCGCTCTCCACTAAACGCCGGGCGCGTACGGCCTCGTGTCGGGCCACCCGTTCCCACGGCTTTTGGATGAGGAAATAGATGGGGAAAGTGATCACATCGTACAACACGACCAAACACTTGATCAACATTAATCCCATCGATGGTCTCTTCGTCGCCATTATTATTGATGTTATAATTACTTGTATTAAACACTACTTCTTCTTCGCCTCGCTTTTCGTGAATTAGTTTTTTGTGTTAAAGTTTTTATAAGAAATATGATATCGTTTTTATCTTCAAATGATATATCGTTAGAGGAGTTAATGAAATCCAAGTTTTGATTCGTTGAATACGAGATTATTTGAATATATCTGTAATTATAATTACGAAATGTCTGTGAGAATTGATGAGTAACTTAGCTTTTTATGCACTCTCTCTCTCTCTCTCTCTCTCTCTCTCGGATACAAAAGAGGCATTCAATTTGGGTGTCAGAGACGTCCAGACTTTACACTAGACTTTAAAAGTCATTTTTATATAATTTCACAAAACATGTGCCTCTGATCTGATATTGCAAATGACAGACACAAAACCAATTCAATTGAAAAGCATTGAGTTTTCAATTTGCAAACTAAATAATTCATTTGAATAGAGAAATTGTTTGCGTCCAATATTTTGTCGTTCATTTCATTGATTACTTATTTATGATTATATAATAAATGGACAGTTTTTCACCATAATTATAGTTCAGACACAGACGAGTATTTTTGTCTAATCCTATGCACTATTAAATCGCAAACATATACTTATAATTCAATTCAATTGTAATTTATTAATAATTATCAAAACGCTGTTTATGTTTATGCGATGCGTTTACGCAGATATAAGCTATAATTAATTATTTATTTAAATTAAATAAAAACCTCGAGTTATTAATTAAAAAAGTTATAAAACTCATGCAAGTGTTTGTATTTTCTATTTGTATATGTAGTCAAAATAATTAAAATATTTACCTTTAAGTTACTGTAGTTTATTTGCTCATTACCAATATTTTATGGTATCAACAAATTATAACAAAAAACAATATAATTATTAAATTAATTCAATTAATGAATAAACTATATCTAATACCAATAAGTTATATTGAAACTAACATATGATCTTTTTTATTTTTATCCAAACAATACCTTTAAATAAACAACAGATTAGAAGTTTTGTTTTGCTTACAAGATATTAAACAACTAATCAATAATTATTACAAAATTTCTACTATAACTGTAAATGAGTTAAATATTGAGGCTATGGTTCACATATTGAGTCTAAACTTCAAAAGAGTTAACAAAAACATGTGATAAAAACACACCTAATCTACAGAAGAAGTGATGAAATAAATACTACCGAAGAATATATGCTTTCATACGATTATTTTCCCAGACATTGTATATCTGGACTCAAACCAAAAACTTTATTAAATATACTAAATGTGAACGTACCTAAAATATAATATAAATCATTATTATTGTCTTTATGCTATGGTCATTTAATTGGATTTATTATAATTTATAAACATAATATATTAATAATGTAGTGTAAAGTACATAATGTAACATTTTATTTTACATTAATTTATAAAATGTATATTAAATAACAACTATTTGTATTTTTCCCGAAACGTGTTTACGATATAATTGAGGGCAAAGTTTTCAGTATATTTAGAGATTAGACTTTTATTTTCCATAGAAACTAAAGTCTGTCAATAATTTTATAAATGTTATAAAAACTGTTTTTAATTGTAAAATATTATTCCCGCTAAAAGTTAATTAAATAATTTTTTACAAAATGTGTGCTTGTTAGTTTAACACACATGTTTTATGGGTAAATTTAGCAACAAATAATACTTTTAAAATAATAACATGTGGCTCCTTTTAGTTATGGATTTATTTCATTTTAATTATAGACAAATATCTGATAAATTTTTAATCATCATTATAACTGATTTTTAAAATGATCAATTTAAAAGCTATAAATAATATTATCAATATTTATTTGAAAACTTTCCATAATATATTATTAATACTAATATATAACTTATACCAGTTAACTTATATAACTTATACCATTTAAAACAATATAAAATAATTACACAATATAAAATAAAACAAAATAAAATAATTGTACAGGTAAATTAATGTATTAATATATTATTTTTAATAATAATGTAAATTAAAAGTTAAATATTCATTATGCACAATTTGTTTTAGAAGCAACATTTTAAGGGAAATTTATCAAAACAAAACATTAATTTAAATTCAAAGATTATATAAAATTATTTCATTATTTTTTTTAACTTAATGTCAAATAATCAGTAAATAATTTAAAAGCATCATGTTTTGTTTGGAAATTACATAATAATTTCAAAACAATTAATTTAGTAAATGTTTTCAACAAAACAGGTTTTGAATAAAAAATATTCTATTAATATATTTTGCATATAATATCTTATAATCAATTATTATTTAGACATTTATTAAAAAATAACGATTTTCAATGATATTATACTAATCGAGCACATGATAAGCAACTGATATTTTGGGAAATTATAATTTTGTTTGAAATCAATAAATTATATTTTAAATAAAAATATTGTAAATTTTGTAATTTATAATAAATGTCTATTTTATGTCTGAAAACAAGGAAAATATTTATCAGATTATAATTGAATACATAAATAGCAAACTCATTGGCAATTAATTATTTTTATGTTCAAAAATCATTTGAAACTTCTTTGTCCATCTATTTTGTCATTGAATTTCTCAGACAATAATAATTATTATTCAATGCATTCATAGAAAATCATTATTTTGTTTTTTGTAACTCAATAAATAAAGTTACATTGAATTTTAGATAATTAGACATAACATAATACCCAAAAAAATAAATTGAATAATCGATAAAAATGATTAAAAATTAATTAAAAATAATTAAATTCAAATAAAATCCTGTTTATGTTAAATTAATTATACAGCTTAAGCAATATCAGTATTAAATTTTAACAAACGTATCTAAAAACTTATTAATATATTAAAATTAACAACTTGATAATTATAAAACATATAAAATCAATACATACCTAATGAATGTATAATATATGAGATTATATACTGTGTATGACTGAGATTCCGATGACACCCGACGTTGACTCTCACAAAATCAATATCTAAATCACAATTATTGAGCAAAACGTGCGGTAGTTATAGGTTTGCATAAGAAGTGAACCGATGGCCGGACGGACCAAAGGGCGTAAATACAGGCACAGAGAGTGATCACTAAT